GTGAATAGAACAATTATCCCTGTTCTAAGAAATTGAGTTTGGACGAACCTACAAAATGGTATAAAAATGTTGACAGAGTACAAAATGCATTGAACTCAACCTATCAACGAAGTATAGGTACTACACCTTTCGAAGTATTGGTTGGCGTAAAAATGAAAAATAAAGAAGACATTCGAATCAGAGAACTCTTAGAGGAAGAGGTGATTAAAATATATGATGAAGAAACAAAAGAACTTCGAGAAAGATGTAAGGAACAAATATGTAAAGTACAAGCTGAAAACAAAAAGGGGTATAATTCAAGAAGAAAACGAGCAACAATTTATAAGGAGAAAGATTTAGTTGCAATAAAAAGAACCCAGTTCGGCCCAGGATCTAAACTCAAGAGAAAGTTCTTAGGTCCTTACGAAATTGTCAAGGTCAAAGATAACGATCGTTATGATGTTGTAAAGATTGGTGAACATGAGGGGCCAATGCGAACATCAACGTGTGCTGAGTATCTGAAACCGTGGGTCGACAATGAAAGCGACGAATCCGAGTCGGATTCTGAATAGGATGGCCGAGTGTAGGATTGCATTCGTCATCAAATAAACTTCTTATAAAAAATTAGTTCCGTTACCAATTCCTAAATTCCATTTTTATCACGAACCGCGAGCCGAATTTCAGAGTTAAGTAGCATTGCTTAATAAACATAAAACGCTGTATATACTAGTACATCGACGGTGAGTTGAACACTCACGACGAAGAGTTGACATGCATAAGACGGCATCTCATCTCTAAACGACGTACGACATTTATATTTTTGCTATTAAGCCGTGGTCCTATTTTAAGTTATAGTTACATTAGTTAGTTGTATATTCATTCCTGTAATTTATGAGTTCAACAATAAAGTGTTTGTTCTAATTTCGAATCGACCTGTGACCATTTAATTAAACCCTAGACAACAAGATAAAACCCTACATATATATATATATATATATATATATATATATATATATATATATTATATATATATATATATATATTATATATATATATATATATATATATATACTACTGAACACCTGTTGACACAATCTTACCGTATCGAACTTCTAACAAAATCATTGAAAAAAAGTTATTTTTATCTACAAGTGTTTGTTTACTTTTACTCACTCAAGATAGATTCATGATATACCTATCTCATTAACGTAAAAATTTCACTCCCACGTTGCAATAAAATCGAATTACAAGTAGGTGGTGGTCATCTTGAGTTGTTCGAACTACTACAACTTGGACAATCGCCAGACATTTTCAACATCTGCTTGTTTATGGCGTGGATGACTCAATTTTCCATTTGTTGGATATCTATATTAGATATTCGGTTATTTATTAGAACCAGGTCGCTTTTTGAGTTTTGGATATGTTACTATATACACTTATTTATCTATTCATTAAAAACAATTTTCTTAACAATAATATAACAAGTATATAAATAACACAATCTAGATGACAAACAGTTACACGTAGATTGATTTGTTATTATTAAACAAAAAAACAGGAGACATTATTTTTTACAAGAAAGTATTGAAACTGTTTTTTAGCTCCACCAATATAATTTAAATATACGGAGTTGCCGGACGAAAACGAAACAGAGGCATTATGAGGAACTGCGACATAATTTTTGAAAAACCCAGGGACAGGTCAATTTTTTATTAAAGGGGGGCACATATTTCTGGTATTTTTGAATGTTTTACTTTCACCCATAAGCGGGGGTAAGAATCACACTAACATTTTTTAATGCAATGAGGGTCAAATATATATCGTTTGAAAGCACTTGAAATTTCCTATACATTAGTCTTTAAAACTGTAAATTCGGTCCAATACTTTATTTATACAGTTTATTATTATATACTATATAGTTTATTTATTAAAAAATAAGTTTAAACTTTAAATTGTACTACTTGCTTAATGGTCAAAAGTAAAAGTAAAAGTACATGGTCATCAGTAAGAAGCATATTCCACCTAGTCAATTACTGGTAGATCAGCAACAAATACTCCAAGTGCCCCGTTACTACTATTTAGGAACTACCATAAACGACCAATAAGACCACTCAGTTGAGATAAAACAAAGAATTAAAATAGCCAGGTCAGCGTTTGTCAGAATACAGTACTGCTCTATGGGGTTGAATCATGGACACTAATCGAGGCATCCATGGAAAAACTCGAGGCGTTTGAGATATGGTGTTATAGACGGATACTGGGGATCTCCTGGGTGGACCGAATAACAAATATTGAGATTCTACGTCGGATGGATAAAACATGTGAAATTATATCCACAGTGAAACAGCGCAAGCTAAAATATCTTGGACATATAATGCGAAACGACCATAGATATAACCTACTGCAACTTATATTATAGGGAAAGGTCTACCGAAAGAGGAGATCAGGAAGAAGAATATCTTGGCTCCAGAACTTACGAAAATGGTGTTCCTTGACCAGTTCAGGACTATTTCGAGCTGCGGTCAATAAAGTTAAGAATTGCCCTGCTAGTAGCCAATATCCGTAACGGATAAGCACCACAAGAAGAAGACTTGCTTAATTAGTTGATTTAGTACGCCAATGGTTTCCAATTTAATTTCTTTCTTTGTTTTTTTGTCACATTTTTCATTGCTGAAACAATTTGCAGCCTTAAAAAATATATTACCATGGTTTTTTCATTCCGCAAAGGGTAGATATCGATTCGATATATTTTATAAACAATAAATGTGCCAATATGACAGTTCAGCAATTCATTGTACGACATCAAGATAAACACGACAGTAGGAAAAATATTTTTAGAAAAATTTTAGAAAGCTAGAAATGTAGATAATAAAAACAAGAAACTGAGTGACACGTTTTCTGACTTAGTGAAGTTGCAGTATTCGGACATGTTTATCTAGATTCCATATTAAGTATGGGGCAAGTTGCAGCTAGATCTGGAATCAACCAAACTAGCGTCCAAGTCATTTAGAACAAATTCCATCCATATAAAATACACTTAGTGCAGAAACTTAATGAGGATGATTTCAACCGCCGCTACGTTTACAGTTTTGTGAAATAATCAGTAAGCAAGCAGTGGCCGATCCACAGTTTCGCTTTAATATTTTTTCTCTAATGAATGCATTTTTTTTATAAATTGAACTGTAAACCATCAAAATTGTCGTTATTGGTCTGATTAAACCACAGGATTTGCCACGAGTTGCATATACAGCAATCGCAAAAATTAAATTTATAGGCTGGTATTTTTGATGATCGTCTGGCAAGATTACTTTTTTAGCTGACAATTTGAAGAATTGGTTAATTCTGCTTTGGCCAATATGACCGAAAATTAATAACAAGATAATGAGTTTTCAACAGGACGAAATATTTATACAAAAAGTTTTCACTATTAGATTGGTAGGAGAGCAGCATCGAATGGCCTCCTCGGTCACCAGATTTGTTTCCTCTGGAGTTTTTTTGTGAGACACCTAAAAAGTAAAATCAATAGAACACCACTTGTATCTAAAGAATATTTACGTCAACGAATTGGTAACGAGTGGCTACGAATCACTCGGCAAATGCTTCGGAATGTGGAAGAACCTTTCAAACAAACCTTTCTTATTATATGGACACCAGAGGTCACCATATTAATTTTAAAATCTTTTTTTTTTAATCAAATAAAGTATTGGACCGAATTAATTTTTTTTTATTTAAATTAATGTACATGTAACATCTATGGTCATTGGAACTAGTTACGATTTACATGGTAATATCATATAAATTACAAAATACTGTAGTTTACAAAATAATAAAACATGTAACATAGCATTTATATTTTGTTGAGTAGTTGAATTTTCTTGAGGAATTTAATAACTTTGTTCATTTGGTCTGTGCTGTTTAGGACCTCTTTGAAGATAGATTGATATCGAGCTGTTGGCTAATTCTAGCATAAAAAGAGCATTCGATAAGTATATGTCTGATTCGAAGAGTCGTATTGCAGTGCTGACATTTTGGTTGTGGAGATGATGTCATCAGGTAGCCATGAGTTAGACGGGTATGTCCTATACGCGTATGATTACCATATTTTTTCGAGATAAACTGGGATGGGTAAGTAGGTTCACTGAGGGTTTAATTTCATGCAGCGCTGAATTAACTTTACTCCGGTGAATCTGCCAGGTGGATAGATTAAGCTTCTTCAGTCTAGCTTTGAAATCGTTGCAAATTTGTATATTGATAATGGTGTCAGTGGATGATGCGGCTTTTTTGGCAAGGCAATCACCTTTTTTGTTACCACTAATACTGACATGAGATGGTACCCATAACAGAGTTTATAAGAAGCTGACATTTGTCATGAATATTTTGGACGATAGGATGGTTGGTGGATATAGCATCAATGAAGTGTATAGAGGAAAAGTGAATCAGAGTATATATGTGTGTGTATTTGAATATTGTTGGGCAATTTTAAAAATTTAAAGACTAATACCACTCTTTAAACACATATCTAGAATTCAATACTCATATCCGAGATTTTACAAGATAGTGTACCAAATTATATACTAAAAAAATACTCTTATATTGATACCGTATATACGGTTCAATAAAAATCAATACGAATTATAATCAGAATTAAAAATTATTCATGTATTCTTCTTTGTTTCGAAAAGTATTTTCTGAATATATCTGAAAATATTTCTTTGTGATCAAATACACAAAATAGAATTATGATGAATACGAACAGTAATTTCAGAGTTTCCAATATACGTCAGCATAAATAGGTCTTAAATGTAACCATATGTAAGAATAATAATCGGATTCCGTTCTAAGCAAAAAATATATATAAAGATATTTTATATTTTTTAATATTTTTTATATATTATAAAAATATTATATATTATAAAAATATTTTTTATTCATTATAAAAGTTTCAAAATAATTTTAAACAGTTTGTTCCGAAAAATGTTTTAAGTAGGAATAAATAAAATTATATTTTATTATGTACTTACTCTTTGCGGAGTCTGGACGGCTTGGTAGTGAAAGAATCTGCACTTTTTTGTATTTTAAGCTCCAAATCTCCATTACATTGTTTCATTTTATTTTCTTGTAGTTCGTTTAGTATTTCTTTGAGAACTTCGTAGTCACAACCTTCTTTAATTTTCTCTAAAATGTGGGTTTCTTTCTCTTCGTTTGACCTTTCACAAGAATTAGAATTAAAAAGAGGTTGCAAAAATGATAAACGCTATAAATTATTAAAAGAACAACAATACGTATGACTAGGTATATTGTAAATGATTTATAGGTTTTTCCTAAGAAACCCAAGTTTCAAAAACGCTCTTCATATGCGAGGGAAACGCTCTAGTTTTTAGGATTTGTTTCAGAAGGTACGGGACATAAACCGTGACATATTGTGCTTCATTGATTTTAAAAATGCTTTCGAACATCAATTCATATATAATGTCCGGTTTATAGCGGCCTGCACCTTCCGGTTCCCAGTGTCCATTCACGTCTATCGTCCTAGCCTCCTGGTAGTAGATCTTTCTCTGACATCGCCTTTTGTACTGCATTAAGCCATGTTGTTTTCGGTCTTTCCCATTTTTTTTTTCGTTAGGTGGCTGCCAATCCAATATTATCTTCAGTAAGCGATGTTCATTCTCTCTACATGTTCGTATCAAAAAAGCTGTTTTTGCTGTATTTCTTCTATGATGTTCTTGAAGTTTTGTTGTATGAAGTTTTTGTTCCGTTCTCTTAGTGAGTTGCCAGTTTAAAAATAGTTTTGACCATAGTAATAAGTGCAATGCCTCTACTATTTGTTTTCCTTTTATGATTAGTTGTTGATTTCTGTTTCAGTGCGTGCATCTCTTTCCCTAATTTTCTTGAATTAACATTTAGTTTCTATTGCTTCTATTTCTGTATTAATCGCTTTATCATGAATTGCAGATCTTCCTGATCTTGGATGAAGAGTACTTGATCCTCAGCGAAATGAAGCGTATATAACGTTGTTTTGTCGTTTACTGGTTATTCATTCCAGAACATGATCTACATTTCTTCATTGCCTCACTCAGGTAGAATTTAAAGAGTGTTGGAGATAGACTGCAGCCTTGCTTTAGTCCTTTATTTACCATAAAATTCTTGGAGAACTAATTGTTATTCTTTATTTTCGATCAAATATAATTGTAAAATCGTTTTATTTCTTTTAAAAGTGTAATCTTAATGGATGAGCTTTCCAGTTTGTACTTGTCATAGTCTTCATAGGGGTATTGTATCATAATCTTCCGTCAAATCCTCAAATATTAGATGAGTTGGTCTATCTCTAGCCATTTCGCTGGTCGATGCAAAATCATTCAGCTCAAAATCCTTCTTGCTGTTCTAGCTCAAGTGGTTCATATTCGTTTTCGGCTAAGGTTTTCATAATTTTTTCGTAAAATCTACTAAGAGTACTGGTAATTGAGATGTAGCGGTAGTTTTTGCAGTCTGTCTTATCAGCTTTTTTATGGACCGGTGTAATTTTAGCAAGGATTCCATCTGGTCCATAGGTTCTTTTATTTTCCATGGTTTTTGTAAGTTTGGCAGTTGGGTCGTCTTCAATATTTATTTCTGGCCAAAGGATTCGGTATCTTCTGGGTGTTTGTTGGAGATATTCAGGTCTGGATTCTTGTAGTTCTTTTGCGTAGTGACTTTTAAATACATTGATGTTGATGGCTAGCATGTTTGTTGCATTTATATCTACTCTGCTTAGATTTCGTATGAATCTCCAAGCCTCCGAAAACTTGCTTCCACCTGAACATGATTTCACTTCTTCGCATTTTCGTTTTCATTTGTGGTTTCATGTCTTAACCATTCTTTAATGTATGTATTATTTTATGTATGATGTGTAACCATAACATAATAATGTATTCTTTCATGCAAATAATGAACCTGATATATTACATACAACAAGGTAGTCAGACGACATCAAGCGCCTTCAGTACAACTGGATTCAGAGTGCTCAAGATCGGATGCAATGGAATTATTTACGGTGGGCCTATGTTCCTTGTAGTCAACCGGAATTACAATGTTGCTTAGAGACCGCTTTATTCTTAGTCCTTCACTGCTAATAATACATAAACACATGGAGGCTACACAGGGATATGGTATTAAATGCACTGAAGAATTCTAGAGTGTGGACCGGAATGATAAATATAACACCCTGGTCAGATTAACGGTTAATAGGCTTATCTTTTCCAACGTGATAACCATAGACAAATAATACAAATAGGCTAAGCGCTATACATTTCCGTTCCCCCAGTGCAACAGAGAAAACTGGCGCAAAGCAGTTCCTGCATCTCTTGTGGAACGGGCATGTATTGCAGCGCTTATTCTATTTTATTATACATATTATATCTATGGTGATAACTGTGCCCAGATTTTAGGTTTAATTAACTTGTTAATAAGATTATGTTTTTGGACTGTTCGTTACTCTCTTTATTCTATTTTAGTTTTTTATTTTAGTCCATTTACCGACTTAATTTTTTATGAGTATTTCAACAAAGTTGTTGATTTTTAAAAAGTTTGATTGAACTGTTCGGTCAGGATAAATTTTAATCTAGCAAAAGCCTTTTGTCTACCGCATTTTTCGTGATTATTTGTCGACCTCTACGTTTCATTCAATTCTTGGTATCCTAAAATTATTATGCCAAGGACATTCTGTATATTACAGTAAACATTAGAATTTATATCATGATTAAACTTCCCGGCTCTATTTTATCGCGGCCATCAACGCAATTAATCACTCATACTCCTCACCTTTGAACGTTTTCATCGCAGTCATCTTTTTTCCTCTCCTTCATTTCCAGTACCAACTGGAGCAATTTCACCACAATTTCCTCATGATTCACAATCTGAAAATAGAATTCAATCGATATGAATACAGAATCGTTGTAGGCTTATTCTAAGACACAATATTTTCGAGATATTAATTTCAGTCAAGAAATTGGGTATAAAAAACGTTGGAAATATTGGAAATCTGGTTTTTAGAAAAAACATGATCTTGTTTCCTATTGATCATGAACGTTTCGATTTTTTTAAGTGTGTTTTTTTAACAGATTTTCACTGAGTCTGCTTACAAGATACCTCTTCTAAAGTGTCTGATTGGGCAAGTAAAGTTGTTCAAATAGTCGCTCTTTCGCTCTTTGCGATAAGCAAATTGAATAACTTTTAAACTACATATTTAATCGATCTGAGTGTTTATCTTACTTTAATAAATTATTAGCTGTCGGAATTTTTATTAGTTATATTCTATGTCATAATATAAAAAAACAAAGTTATAGGCAGAAACTATTTTTTTTTTCACTTTTTTACGATTGTTTAACCAAAAACAAAGCAAAATTAGCTGCATGTCTTCACATTATTGTCATCAGCTACCCCACTTATATCATTTAAAATTTTTAAATATTAGTATAAAAATGTTTTAAGCTTTTGTCTTGACTGGTGTAGATCAGTCTAACGTGAAAACCTGTAAAAAAATCACTACGTAAAAATCGTATACAGATGTTTGAAGGTTCTAAAAGGTATATGAAGGGTAGCTGACCAAAAATCTGCGAAGACGTAGGTACGGCTGATTTTGCTTTTTTTTTTAAACAATCCTAACAAGTAAAAAAATATTTTTTGTCTATAAAACGTTTTTTATACATTTTAGAATACATTTAGAATAAAATGGTTCTAATAAAAGTGGTAGATCATGAAGTTCTGTAATTTTGAGAGTATCAAAATTATAATTCATAAACAATTGACCGAGATAATTGAAAAAAAAAACATTATTTTTGAAGTAATTTGTAAATTTGAGTAAATTCTTTAGCATAAATACCTGTAGCTACCTAAAATAATGGCAATTAATAAGTTATTAAAGTGTGCTAAATTTTAACCAGATCTACCAAATAGTTTATAAGTTATTCAATTTGTTATCAAAAAACTCCAACATTTTATTAAACTCAAAAGAAAACAGTTAGAAAATAGCTGACTGATTGGAATATAAACATTTATAATAAGTAGTCTCAATCAAAAGCTGGTGAAAAACACACTTTTCAAAAACAGAAACTTCTATGACCAAAAGCAAGCAGTTAGTTAGCATTTTATTCTTAAAATCATATTTCCATTATTTATTGAGAGCTGAAAATTAAACGGATTTTACATAAAGATCTATATTTTATGATACAACTCATAAATGGTATATACAGTAAAAAAGTGATAAGTAAAAACCGTTAAAACGATGATACTCGTAAAATACCGTCACAGAAAAGAAAAGAGGAGAACCTACTTGAGCTCGATTTTTTTAGAATGGTACTTCAAATTGAAGCTCGCTGACAAAATTTGCAATATGTTGGCTTCTATGGTACGTAGAACTCCAATTTTTTAAAACTCGGTTAAAAGAAAAGAGGAACCAAATCAAGATATACTGATACAACGAAGTATCGATGCGAAATAAGCGAGTTAAACTAATAAAGTGACCAAACTTTTTTTTAAACTTCCAAAATCTGACAAATTAACCCATCTATGGATCTGATGCAACATGACGATTCTTTTTTTTTTGTGTGTGTTTTGGCTTGGACAATTGTCATTCAGCCAGTCTCAATCAAGATAAGTTTATTAATGTAGTGTGTGTGTGTTTGTGTGTGTAGAGTAATTGTCTTGATACTTAGCAAAGTCGACGTCATTGTCTTTGCTAAGAGACGCTAATTGTATCCGAACGTCTGCGGTCCCTCCGGTGTGTACCGATCACACAAGGATAGAAATTATTTTCATTTATTAATTTTTTTTAATAAACGAAAATTTCCACCCAGGTGGGATTCGAACTCACAACCTTTAGATTTAAAGGCAGGCGCTCTTACCACTGAGCCACGATTCGGGACGTATATTTTTGCAAATTTTGTCTTTTTACTCCAAATAAGATACAAACGTGTGTTTATATCCTAAGAAAACTATATATGTTCTGAAAATACTTTCTTGTGGTATGTCTAATTTAAATATTATGTTTATTGGCTTAATAAAAATATTTTTATTACAACCAATAGTTATGGCTTAATCCCCTATAAACATAATATTTAAACTAAGTATGTACCAGTGTCTACGTGTTTTCTATCCGGAGTTATCTGTAACTAGGTGACATATGACTCATTGATCCTTCTCTTCTCTTTACCAGGACCAACTTGTATATAAAAATTTCAAGACTTTACAACAACTCGTACAAACCATCGCACACATAGTCAGACAGACAGAACTATAGACGATAAGATTTCAATAAAGACTTGTAGTGTCATTAATAAAATCTAGCAGAGGTATGGAAGAGATAAAGTACAAACATTAGTTGTAAGAAGTAAAAGCAAAAAAAAACAATTAAAATGCATCACCCAATATAAAAAACCAATAAAGGAAAAAACTTGCATTAAAATCTATATTTGCAAAATAAAGAATTAATTCTTACAAAATGATTGTAGATATCAATTGGTCTTGTTAACCTTTCTACACTTCAACTTGAACAATCTTTTATATAGACCCTACTTCTATGCTTTATTTCAAACGATTTAGACTGTTAGGAAAGCATATTAACAGATGCAGAGCTACGTTTGTTACCTGATCAAATTCTAAAAAGACATGTTTCAGGTGTTAATTGGCTTTGACGATATGAGTGACACATGTGAGTATCCTGAGTTTAGCTTTTTTACGCCCTCAGTGAGATCACTTCTTCTGTAAGTGCCATCTCTGCGACAAAGGTTGGCAATCATCATGACTATTCTGACCTTCGAGGCAGCTGCTCTGAACAATTGCATTGAGCTGCAACCAAACCACCTTCTCAGGTTCTTCAACCAGGAAACGCGTCTTCTTCCTACGCTTCTCATACCCTCTATTTTTCCTTGAATTATGAGTCTCAATATGTTGAAATATTTCGCCTCCCATTACGTGTCCGAGATATTGCAATTTCCTTTCTTTTATTGTATTTTCCATTTCCCTCTCTCTGTCTATTCTCCTTATCACTTCTGCATTCGTGACTCTATCTACCCATGAAATCCTTAATAATCTTCTAAATTTTCCTCATTTCAAACGCTTTAAGTCGATTTATTGTATTCCGGTTCAATGTACATGAGTTAGCTCCCTAGTAGAGTACACTGTGTACATAGCATTTAATTAGCCTTATTCTGAGGGCCAATGTCAGATCTTTGCTGCATTAAATCTTTTTCATTTTCACGAAGTTAGCACGTGCTTTTTTTGAGCTTCTTATGTGATTATCGTTTCCAAGTAAGTATATATTTTTACTCTCTCAATCTGCTGGACGCATACCGTTAATATTTCATTTGTATTGTTGTTCTTGCTAATTTTCATGAATTAGGTTTTTTGATGTTAAGAGAGAGTCCGTATTCTCCACTATATCTTAATATTTTGTTCATTATTCTTTCTAAGTATTTAAAGTTGTCGGCTATTATGACTGTATCGTCGGCATACCTAATGTTGTTAATTAAACTTCCGTTCACTTTTATGCAGACTGTCTCGTTTACCAAAGCTTGTATGATTTCTTCAGAATAAGCATTAAACAATAATGGCGACAGTATGCAACCTTGCCTGACCTCTCTCCTGATCTCCATTTCTTCTGACACTTCTCTTTCAATTTTCACATTTGATCGTTGGCTGTAGTATAAATTAGTGAGATCACAGGTGCCCATAAAAATATCTTTCTATAGCGAGCAAAAAGTTCATAAAATTGATGGTGAAAACATTTATTACTTATATTTTTTGAATAATTATTTTGTATTGTCAATTATGGATGAAAAGTATTCGCGTCTTGTGTTAGTAATATTATATTTTTATATTTATTTTATTATGTTATAAAATTGCGGTAGAATTTTTCCTCTTACACTCCTACATAATAGTGCGTGTTTTCGATATTCATCAGTAAGAACCACGCCCCCTTGAACCTACCCTGATCAATACTGTCATTATGGTAATAGAGTAAAATGGGCTCAGTTTCCTTGGTTCTTGTCTAGTGACTTGGTCCGAGTTTTACGCATCTTGAAAACGTCAGATAATTGTCATTCAAAATTTTTTCGCAATAACTAGTGCACCATATAATTTGCTAGAATGGTATGTTTTTTATTATTTTTTAAGTTTAATACTATTATTAAACAAACATTGTTTCTATAGATATATAATTAAAAGTTTTAATACGAGAAACTACAAACCCTGAAATTCAATTTAATTTTTAAATCCGTTCAGTGTTGGGCATTAATGAAACGAAATGGTTGCCCAAATATAAAAGTATTTTAAAATATTATGTTAATAATAAATATTGAGTTTATCAGACACGTGTACAAATTTGTTTAAATAATAAGTACCTGTAATAGAACAGATCAATATTTATTCGTTTAAAATATTTTTATTGGTAAAACATTGTTTAATAAGTTGTCGTTTGTAACCAAATAAATTAATATTGATAACAGATGTATTACGGCTGTCGCCGCTTCTCCACCCCCAATTTCCATATTTTTCTGTCATATGCAGTTGCCTCTTCTAAGTCTCTTGCCGCCATTGGTTTATCAATATCGTTGCGCCAACTTCTCCGTGGTCGTCCTGTCTTTCTTCGTTCAACAGGATCCATTCCAGTATCCTTCTAGGCCATCTGTACTCTGGCATTCTTTTAACATGTCCGAACCAGATTAATTGTTTTCTTTCTATGTCATCATTGATATTTAGCTCCATTATCATTTCGTTTCTTATTTGTTCGTTTCTAACTCTCTCCAGTTTCGATCTACCGCAGCTTCGTCTCAGATAATCCATTTCTGTCGTCATAAGTTTGTTTCTATTGGCTTTGGTGACTTCCCATACTTCCGAACCGTAAAGTGTAATACTTTGG